GCTGCTGTTCGTGAGGTTTTGACTAAGTGGGAACGGCAGACTGGTCTAGAAGTTCGTTGCGTCCGAACTGATTGCGGCACGGAGTACGTCAACGATCGCCTTGCCTCCTTCTTTTCTGAGAGGGGTATTGTGCATGAGAAGTCGGCCCCGTATACACCAGAGCAAAACGGAGCAGCGGAGCGCCTGAACAGGACTTTGCTGGAGCGTGTGCGGGCCATGCAATATGATTCGGGCGTACCTCCGGAGCTGTGGGGAGAGGCAATAATGACGGCCAACGCCTTGCGCAACGTGTGTCCTACGAAGGGGACTGTACAGACGCCGTGGGAGCTGTTTACTGGAAAGCCCCCGGACGTCTCTAAGCTACGGGTATTCGGGTGCGTGGCTTATGTACAGGTTCCGAAGGCGCTTAGAAATAAACTTGACCCGGTCTGCGTCAAGGGTATCCTAGTTGGGTATGAACCTAAATTTAGTGCGTGGCGCGTATGGATCCCAGCAGAAGGGCGGATTCGTGTTAGTGTAGATGTGGTTTTCGATGAGGGAATCATGTATAGTGTCGCGTATTTGCTCGATTCGATAGAGGAGTCGCTCTCTTCCGGTACTGATGATGAGGGCCCCAGGAGGGCGCCCTTGGTCGAGATCGAGATGAATCCTGTAGGCGGGCCGGCTGGCGACGAGGGGTCGGATGACGAGCCGGGGCCGTTGATTGATGACGATGAGGCGTCGGATTGGTCCGAGTCTGATAGTGATGATGACGGTGAAGTGGATGAGGAGGTCAGTGAAGGATTGGTTGACGCAGGGCCGTCCAACGCAGGGCCGTCCGATGCAGGGCCGTCAAATGCAGGACCGTCCAATGCGAACAATAATTTGCCGTTAGCTCTTGGTAGGGAAAAGCGTTCCAATGCCGGAGTTCCACCCAAACGTTTTGCTTTCCGCGTAGAGATGGAGGAAGAGTCGGATGATGATGTCGATATTCCGGAATCTTACGAGGAAGCAATGGCATCTCCCTATGCTGAAGTTTGGCGTGCTGCAATGCTTGAAGAGCTTGAGTCTTTGCGTGCGAAGGGTACTTGGTCCTTAGTGCCGAAGCCCAAGGACAACAGATCTCTTGACGTTAAGTGGGTTTTCTCATTGAAGCGTGACAAGCATGGTGCCATTGAACGGTTCAAGGCACGCCTAGTAGTGAAAGGTTTTATGCAACGTGAGGGTGTGGATTTCCAGGAGGTCTTTGCGCCGGTAAGTCGCCACACTACCTTGCGTACTTTTTTGTCCATGGTAGCTGGCGCCGATATGGAATTGCACCAACTAGATGTCAAGACGGCGTTTCTGAATGGCGATTTAGAAGAAGAGATTTATGTTAAACAACCCCCCGGTTTTGAAGAGGGAGGCCCGGGGATAGTTTGTCTTCTTCATAAGGCCTTGTATGGCCTTCGCCAAGCGTCGCGTGCATGGTATGACACGTTATGTGAAGAATTAGTGTCGATGGACTTTGTCGCGTCGAGTGC